ACCCGCCTTCCCACCTTAGGCCGTGGGAGGAGACGGAAGGGAAGCCCGAGCTTGCCGGATGCCCACGGGCACAAGGTCACCCCGAGATCGCCCTGACGGAGGAGTCTAGGCCCCGCAGGTGTCTGCGTTCTGCAGCAGATCGGAGAGGAACGGGTTCTTCCCTTGGCGGGCGTAGCCACTCACAGTGAGACCCCCGAGGCCTGGAAGCTGCCCTGCGACAGGAAGTAACCCGGCCTCACCTCCCTGCAACGTGTAGGCAGCGCCGGCCAGTAGAATAAGATGTGAGCCATAAAGCGATTTCACATTCTCTAAGAGGCACGTGAAAGAGGGTAAAAAGAAACAGATGAAAGCAATTTTAGCAACGTAGTACGTTTAACCCAAGAGGTGTAAAATATTAACATGTCAGTGAGACTCCAACTCAAAAAAAAAAAATTAACATGCCAACATGTAGTCGGTAAAAAACATTAATGAGACAACTTTACATGATGTTTTGGTACCATGTCTTCGAAATCCGGTGTGTATGTTATACCTGCATCACATCTCAGTTCTGCCTAGCCTCAGGTCGCGATCCATAGTTGCAAGTGATGAATCACCTACAGAAGCCGTTGCCTCGAGGTCATATGTGGGATATGAATAGAGGTCCACTTGAACCCCAAATTCTGAGTTTTTTTTGTTTTTTGGTTTTTTTTGAGTTGAAGTCTCACTCTGTCGCCCAGAGGAGTGCAGTGGCGGCTCCCGGCCACCGCAGCCTCGACCTGCTGGGCTCTGGCGATCCTTCCGCCTCAGCCTTCCGAGTAGCTGGAACTACAGGCACGCGCTACCACGCCCGGCTCATTTTTTGATTTATTGTAGAGATGAGGTCTCGCCAAGTTGCCCAGACGGGTCTCGAACCCGCGGGCTTAGGCAATCAATTCTGAGCTTTTAACCCTCAAGAGCAATCTGACATTGAGCGGTTGAAGAGCACAGACTGGGAAGCCTGTTTCCTAGCTGTGTTGTCTTGGGTACATTCCTGAGCCCTTCTAGGCCTCAGCTTCCTCACCTGTAAAATGGGGAGGTTGTGAGGATTCCAGGAGATGATGCCAGTAAAAGACAGATCACAGGCCCCAGTAGGTTCTCAGAAAAAAAAAACTTATTATGACCATATATCTTTGTTTTTCTGCTGCTGTTAACTTCTCTTGTGCTTTTCCCCTCTTAAGTCCTTTATTCGACGATTATTTCAGTGGACAGAATTATTAGATCCTACAAATTTGATCATTTCAGCTGTAAGTATTGCTTTCATATATAATGTATTTCATGTTTTATTTTGAAACTTGAAAGTCATGTGTACCTATTTTGTGTGTGTGTGTGTGTGTGTCAGAGTATCACTGTGTCGCCCAGGCTAGAGTGCAGTGACCGTGAGCGTGCCACTGCACTCCAGCCTGGGCAGCAAAAATGAGACACCAACTCAAAAAAAAAAAAGACATTTGAAATAATATAATCTGCATATATTATTATGTGTTTGTTCCTTCTGAATTTGTTAGATTGGAAGAGATAAATAAAAGCAAATATCTGTTTAACAGGTAACATCAAGCCCAGGTCAGGTGCTGGTGATTCAAAGAGAATCAGATAAGTCTTCCATGTAATGGAGGACAGACTGCTGATACTAGCTGCAAGCCTTGACAGGGCTGTAAGAGTGGGGAACTCTGTGGGTGTGATGTTGGGTGTGGTATGGCACACACTTATGGGTTCTTTGACTCAGCCCTGAAATAATTTTTCTTAGTGGCCAGCAAACTTATAAAACAAAGTTTATTAGCAAGAAGAGAAGGAAGGAAGGGCAGGAGGAAGCTTCCTATCAGAAAGGCCTGGTACGGGCAAGTCTGTCTCAAAAAAGAAAGGCTGCATTTTTGCTCTTAACTAAAATGCTGGATATACTTTTACAACAATTGACATGTTAAAGAGAGTGGGGTACAGGTAACTGCCACTCCGGAGAGATTGATATGTCTCTGCTTCTGGTGGAAGGAATGGGAGGGGGGTAGTCTTTTTCAGAACACATATTCTGACTTTGCAGGACAGCTGCCATACTTTTCCAGTTCACAAGTTCATGAGCTAAAAGGTGGTCTTATTATTTCTATGGCTTTGGATAGGTAAGGGGTGGTATTCAGCTTTCTACCTTGACAGGGAACCTGAAAGATTTTTGGGTTTTTTTTTTTGAGTTGGAGTCTCACTCTGTCGCCCAGACTGGAGTGCAGTGGCTGCTCTCGGCCACCGCAGCCTCAACCTGCTGGGCTCTGGCGAGCCTTCCGCCTCAGCCTTCCAAGTCACTGGAACTACAGGCACACGCTACCACGCCCGGCTAATTTTTTGATTTATTGTAGACAGGAGGTCTTGCCAAGTTGCCCAGGCAAGTCTCGAACCCGCGGGCTTAGGCAATCCACTCACCTCAGCCTTCCAAAGCGTGGGATTACAGGCTGAGCCACCTATGCTTATATCTGATGGAATTATTTTTTGATTGGCTAAGGGGGTGGGGTATGCTGGTGAGTCTATATTTCAGCCTGGCTTGCAGTAAAAATGTGATTAAAAAAAAGAAAAAGTCCTAACACTTCTTAAAACCCATCTACAAGAAATTTGTATTTGTCTATGCCTAACCTGTGCTAGCTACCCTGCCTCAGGTGGCGATGCTGAGGAGGGAGAGAGGGGATGGGTGGGAAGGAGACACCAGTAAGAGGGGACTGAAAGTGGGTCACCCAGTCACGGTGCTTTTAATGCCATGGGATGAGGCCCTTGACGGGCCTCATGTGTTATGGAGATAGACGAGCAGGGATTGCATGGATCCTGCAGGGCCCGGTGATGAGGATTGTGTTTCATGGCAGTCTGTTTGGTAGCTATGTGGCAAGTAACCAGAGATCAGGCTGAGAGCAAGGCCGTCAGCTCAGGAGAGGGTCCAGTTGTCCAAGTGAAAGAGAAGAGTTTTTTGAACAACTTGTGGCTGAGAGATGAAGAAAAATTTCTCTGTCATCAGTCATATTCCTTCAGGGCGAGACCTGAAGGGACACTCCAAACTCATGCTCCAGGTATTCCTTACAGCCTTGTTTATTGTGGGGGAAAACAAGAAACAACCCAAATGCCATCTGTATGGGAATAGCTTAATAACTTGCCAAATATTTGTACTGTGGAATGGTGATTAACTGTTACAAGTGATGAACTAATTATCAATGTGATATGAAATGGAAACCTGGTTATATATATTAAATGAGAAAACATGTATGTTTAGTGGAAAAAGCAAGGTGCATATCTAAAATATAGTATTTATACAAATTATAACAAAATGCAGTATTTGTTTACAGATACATATGTTCATGTATGTATGTATAAGTATAAAAATAGGTACTGGGGCCAAGTGAGGTGGTTTATGCCTGTAATCTCAGTGCTTTGGAGGCTGAGACAGGTGGATTCCTTGAGCCCAAGAGTTCAAGGTTGCAATGAGCTATGATTTGCAATACTACTACTGCACTCCAGCCTGGGCAGTAAAAAAAAATTTAAAAATAGAAATACAAATAGGAACTGGAAAGATATACCCTGAATTTATAATAGTGGTGACCTCTGATAGGATGGGAAGGGAAATGAGACTGGGTAATGGTTCTTTTTGAAAAATAAATGAAATAAAATTAGAAGCAAATATAACCAGATGTCTGTAGTTGTTAATTCTGGGTTAGGAGATTATAGTGTATAATCATTCTTTATATTTTTTGTATTTAATTTTTTTTCTAAAATTAAGAGAAGGGATGCCAAGCACAGTGACTCATGCCTATTTTCCCAGCGCTTTGAGAGACTGAGGCAGGAGGATTGCTTGAGCCTAGGAGTTTAAGACCAACCTGGGCAACATAGCAAGACCCCATAGCTATAGTAATAATAATAATAATAATAAGTAGCTAAGCATGATGGCATCTACCCAGGAGACTGCAGCAAGAGGATTGCCTGAGCCCAGGAGTTTGAGGCTGCAGTGAACTATGATCAAACCACTGCACTCCAGCCTGGGCAACAGAGTGAGACCCTGTCTCTTTAGAAAAAGAAAGAAAAGGAGAGAAGAAATAAGACTGAACTGATGAAGCATTGGGGTAGGTGAAAGAGAAGGGACTTACTGGTTTGTGACTTATGCAACCAGTGGATGGTGGTACTATTCACTGAGACAGTTGACACCAAAGAGCCAGGGAGATAACTGCACCAGTGGGGGAAGCTCCTGGGGCTGTTGAGGAAGTAGGAGGTCTAAATCTGAATAGTACTTGGGACTGTCCTCATGAACCCTCTTGGGGAGTAGAGAGCTTAAGATAACACATGGCATTGAACTCAGGTGTGCAGTTGAAATACCATGTATCTGTGGATAGATCTGAAAATGTCAAGATCATTCGATGTCTGATTTTAGGAAAATATCGAAAAATCGAGGCAGCTATTGTTCACAAATGAAGATGCATTCAGACTTGCCTGGGAGGACCAAGGGGTATGTATGTTTCATGTATTCTGATGTGCCAAATTCAAGGCTGGGTAGAACTTTCTGATGGTTCTGCCTGCATGGCCTGAAATCACATGGAGTTGTAGCTGTTAATCTTGCCTTTTTTTTTCCCTTTTCAAATCACTGAGCTATTGGTCATTAATCTTGGCATTGTTCTACTTCCCAGGTGACCAGCTTTTTAAAACTGGATTCGTCTTTAAATGTCGTTAGAATTCCATCCCATAAACCAGAGCAGGTTTCCTCATGTGCAGTGGATATTAGTGGGACTTTCTTGTACTTGATTCCTGGAGCCCCATGGCAGACTCCAGAGTTCAGATGGGCCTTTGAAGTGACAGTTTATTTTCCATTATAGGCAGTGTTCCTGCCCAGGCTCAAACTGAGTATTCCTTATCTACCTTGCAGTGGATAGGGCTTTCTGGAGCTCACAAACACCATTTCTTTGAGGCAGCCTGTGGAGAGCTCACACGTTTAACTTGGTTTTTCTAAGAACTTTTTGGGACCTCTGGGCTGACAGCTTGACTGTGTTGCAAGTGACTTGGCATGTGGAGTAGTATGCTCCACATACAGCCTGCCATGCTCTGAGTCGGGGCAAGCTGGATTCAGGGACTCATCTGAGGGCTAAGTTAGGTGTTGGTCCTCTCCAAGGTGTTGGACAGGACTTTTTAACATTCTGGTCAGTTTCTCTATGTGGACCATCTCTTTACTCACATTAGTTCATTTGTTTATTCATCTGATTCATTTACTTATTTATTGCATATATTTATTTATTTGTTTTTTTGAGTCGGAGTCTTACTCGGACACCCATGCTGGAGTGCGGTGGCACTCTCACCACAGCCTCGACCTGCTAGGCTCAGGTGCTCGTTCCACCTCAGGCTTCCAAGTAGCTGGAACCACAGGTGTGCATCGCCATACCGGCTAATTTTTTTATTTACTGTAGAGATGAGGTCACGCCAAGTTGCCCAGGCTGGTCTCGAACCCCTGAGCTCAGGCAGTCTTCTCACCTCAGCCTCCCAAAGTGCTGGGATTACAGGCGTGAGCCACTCTGTCTACCTGATTCATTCATTTTTATTCATTCCATACATGTGGTAGAAAACGGCTCTGGCCTTCACTCTCTGAAAGGCAAAGCAAAGGTGACCCCCAAAAATGAGACTGGGAGGGAGATTATCTGTTGCTGAACCACCTTTGAAAGCTTCCCCCTCTCCTCTTTTTAGATACAAGAAGCTTGGAAGCACAGTCTTGTAAGTTTCAGCCCCTTCCTAATTTTTAGTCTCCTAAGATAGCAAAACCTGGCATCCAGTTAATCTTTGCGTCTCCCCTTTTGAAGTCATCGGTGCATCCTGACAGCAGCAAACCGATCCCCACGCTTTTTCGACCTGCAGGTAAGTGGGCTCTGATTTTTAGAAGTGGGTTGGGGATACATGGTTTGTAAAACTTAGAAAACTCTGCCTGTCTTATTTTAATTTGTTTTCCCCTAGCAGGATTTCTGATGGTGAGTCTGACACCACAGCGTAAAATGAATGTTTGAAGGGTCTGGGGTTGACAGAGGACAGAAGAGCAGGTTCAGGGTCCAGAGCAGTGATGCTGTGGACGGATCTGGGCTTTGGGGATGAGGGCAGGCCTACAGGCGGATCCCACCCCTGCTCCTTAAAGCCAATGACCATCCGATTATTTCACTGATGGCTCCAGAACTTGCAACTGCTGAGTGCTAGTATTAAGGATACCATTTAGTGTTTGCTTTTTTTTTTTGAGTTGGAGTCTCACTCTGTTGCCCAGACTGGAGTGCAGTGGCCGCTCCCAGCCACCGCAGCCTCGACCTGCTGGGCTCCGGCGATCCTTCCGCCTCAGCCTTCCAAGTAGCTGGAACTACAGGTGCGTGCTACCACGCCCGGCTGATTTTTTTATTTATTGTAGAGATGAGGTCTCGCCAAGTTGCCCAGGAGGGTCTCGAACCCCGGGGCTCAGGCAATCCACTCACCTCAGCCTCCCAAGGTGCGGGATTACAGGCTGAGCCGCCGAGCCCGGCTGGCTCTCATTTTCATCATATCTAAGATGAGGAGAATAAAAATATCTATGATCCTTCCAATTATAATTCTCTCTGTGTGTAGTATAAAAAAGACACTGGAAACAACATGCACATCCAGCAATTCAGAGTCTATTTACATAGTTAAAAAGAATGAGGTAAGTCCTCTATGCTGATTTGGGAAAGTGAATCTTCAGAAATTAGCATTAATGGAAAAAAAAAAAACAAAGCATAAGAAAGTATATAGCAATCTTGTATGGATAATTAAGGGCTGTGTGTGTGAGAGAATGTGTGTACATCCTGATAGATGTATTTTTAAAAAGATCATCTTAGCGATCCTTTTGTAGTTAATTTGGCATGATGGTTGGGGGTTCACACACATGTGTGTGAGAGGTACCACCCTTAAACCTTGTTATAATGTGGGTGTATTACCCATCTGACAATGATTAAAAAAAAAAAAGTTCATCTGGCCAGGCGCTGTGGCTCAAGCCTATAATCCCAGCGCTTTGGGAGACTGAGGTGAGAGGACTGCCTGAGCTCACAGGTTCAGACCAGCCTGGGCAACTTGGCAAGACCGCATCTCTACAATAAATCAAAACATTAGCCGGGCATGGTGGTGTGTGCCTTTAGTTCCAGCTACTTGGAAGACTGAAGTAAAAGGATCACCTGAGCCCATCGGGTTGAGGCTGCGGGGGGCCATGAGCGCAGCCTGGGCGACAGAGTGAGACTCCAACTCAAAAAAAAAAAGTCATCTGGAAGGATGAACAAGTGCTGTTGAACACTGCCTGCCTTCAGGGAGAGAGACGGGGAAGGCCAGAGAAAGTCCTTCTTGTTAGGTCTTTCTGTACTGTGCTGTTTTAATTTCTTGCCATAGTTATAATTTTATACATAGACTTATTTTTATTAGAAAAAAAGAATGAATCAAAAATGTCCTTTGAGATCTGTGCCTTCGGGAGGCTAGGGCAGAGGTGTTCGGGTGGGTGGTGCACTTCCAGCCTTCTCTGCCCTGGCAGCTGTGATCACTGATGCCTCTTCTCTTCCTGCCAGCGTTCCTGCCTTTCACAGTGCCCTCGGTGAGTAAGCTGCCACTCACCTTAAGAGACCGGGGACTTCGGAGGATGGCCGCCCTGTCCTAACCTCGACTGTCCCTCCGGCTCTGGGCCCCTGTCCCATGACTGCCTGATAGATGGTTATGGGCCCCACCTGTGACCCTTGGCTGCTGTGCACGTATCCATGTCCCCGGCTCCCACCCTTCACCCCACTTACTCAGGCAGGCATCCCGGCCTCTGGAAGGCCCGCAGTATTACAAGGTGATCTTTCTCACATATCAGCCACGTGCAGAGCACTGTAGAAGAGATGAGTGGGTAAAACATGCTCCCTGCCACAAGCCCCATGGCATCATTTGTTACCTTCTCTCCCCAAGTCCTCCCCCAGTGCAGCCCCTTGCCTGGGATTTTGGATTGCCCCCAGCCGTGCTGCCCCACCTTGGTTCTCAGAAGGTGCTTTTTTCCCACATCAGTGGCCCATGTCTGCCTCTCCTGACAAGTGTGTACTTAGCTGCCCTGCTGGACTGCAGGCATTGGAGACAAGCCCACTGGGAGCTCCCGGGGTCCTCACAGCTGCTAGTTCAGTGCCTGGCAGGGGCTCCTCAACCTTGGCCTGTCCACTGTATACCAGCTCCTGCATCTGCCACCTCCCTCTCCTTCCCCACCTCCTGGAGGCTCAGTTCCACCTCTCCCCCAGAAAGTCCTTTGCTCCTGCAAGCTCTCCTTCCTCCAAAACACTTGTAATTCTGCTCTGCTTTCTTCTTAAAGGTGTTTGTGTCGATGATTCCAGCAAAACGGATAAAATATGTGATTTTACCTCAGGTAGCAATTATTTCTGTTTTGCGGTTGCTGAATTCTGTTATGCCTGAAACCAAGGTGTTACCTGTTTTCCTCTTTCTGCAGGTTTCTTTATATGCTTACACTACAGTGTTCAACATTATCAATGGAAATGCAAGTTACGTGAGTATTGTGAGACTCGGCGGGTATGCAATTTTGTATTATTTATTTTGGAGTTTTTTCTATGTGTTTGTTTTTAAATTATCTTTGCTGGAGCCAGGCGCAGTGACTCAAGCCTGTAATGGCAGCACTTTGGGAGGTGGAGGCGAGAGGATTGCCTGAGCCCACAGGTTTGAGATCAGCCTGGGCAACATGGTGAGGCCTTGTCTCCACAATAAATCAAAAATTAGCTGGGTGTGGTGATACATGCCTGTATTCCCAGCTACTTGGAAGGCTGAAGCGGAAGGATTGCTTGAGCCCAGCAGGTCAAGGCTGTGATGCCCATGAGCATGCCACTATATTCCAGCCTAGGCAATAGAGTGAGACTCTGACTCAAAAAAAAAAAATATTAGCTTTGCTGGGCAAAACTGGCATTTACTAAATAAGTACTTTTATTTTTCCTTAGAGTCATCGTCCACATGAGAGTGTATTACTAGGGGCAGGAGTAATTGCTTCTTCAACCTTCTGTGGAGTAGGTATTCTTAAAATCTGTCTAATATTCTCTGTTCCTCAGAATAAAAAAACTTTTATTTACTCTTATTACAAGTTTATGTTCCAGCTTAAACAGTTTAGAAAGTATGAATAGGAAATAAAAGTCACCAACATAATGTTAATATTTTAAGTTTTTAGGCCTATTCTCAGTGCTGTTATCTTTTTATTTATTTATTTTTTTGAGTTGGAGTCTCACTCTGTTTCCCAGACTGGAGTGCAGTGGCCGCTCCCGGCCACCACAGTCTCAACCTGCTGGGCTCTGGCGATCCTTCCACCTCATCCTTCCAAGTAACTGGAACTACAGTCACGCGCTACCACGCCTGGCTAGTTTTTGATGTATTGTAGAGACAAGGTCTCGCCAAGTTGTCCAGGCGGGTCTCAAACCCACGGGCTCAGGCAATCCTCTCACCTCGACCTCCCAAAGTGCTGGGATTACAGGCTGAGCCACCGAGCCTGGCCTGTTATCTTTTTAAAAGTCATGCTATGCAAACATGTTATGTAAATTGTATATTGCTTTGGATGTTAGGACATTGGTCATGGTTAAAGATGGGGAGATATTAACATCGGACTAGACTGGGTTCACATCCTGGCTCAAACCGTTAATGACTCTGTGACTATGGACAAGTTACATAACCTCTCTAAGCCCCTGATTACTCCTTGGGGGAGCAAGAGTTTAAAAAATATTTTGGGCTCGGTGGCTCAGCCTTTAATCCCAACACTTTGGGAGGCTGAGGTGAGTGAATTGCCTGAGCTCGTGGGTTCAAGACCCACCTGGGCAATTTGGCAAGACCTCATCTCTACAATAGATAAAAAATTAGGCCAGGCTCAGTGGCTCAGCCTGTAATCCCAGCACTTTGGGAGGCCGAGG